ACATAACCAAACCAAAAACATTCAGAGTTTAACCCCAGTACATAACCAAACCAAAAACATTCTACTAAATCTAGCAAAACTTAACGCCTGGTGTTGTTGCGGTTAATTCGGTTAAACCGCGGGTTGGGTTCAGGTCGAGCTCGAACAGATGAACTACCACTTGCCTGGATTGGCTGCTTGCCACGGTCCAATGAAACTGGTGCCGGTGCCGGTGCCGGTGCCACTGCAGGTGTTGGTGCCAACGGATAACGGCTTGTGGTGACTATTGTCGATGGCTCATCTTGAGAAAAACGGGACAACTGTGAGGTTTGGTTTCCCACAATTTGTTTACCCTTTTCTGAAGATGAGACCGGGGTAGCAGAGAAACCAAGAGGCGAGCGAAGCTGAGACACTGTTTGAGGGACTTCAACCGGCAGTGTTGGCAGAGCAACAAATGTAGGAGGCAAACCAAGCTCAGTAGAATCCCGTTTTTGCTTGTTTAAGTTCAAAGTCGCCTGGCATGATACGTTTCGTTAGAAAATGAAAAATGTTGATGGGTGTTCGAGCAAAAGATCAAAATTACGATCGCAAATGATACCTCCGTGGCCTCGTGGCGTTCACAGTACGACAAAGTAGTACCAAACAATCTGATACTGTTACTTGGGCCAGCTGCAAGAAGAAACAAGATCATGAGCCAAATTTCAAAACTTTATTTGCAATCCTTCATGGCACCTGCACTCAAACACCTTCCCACACACAGACACACACACACATATATATACACTTCCTTGTATCATCATAACTGAAATTTTAACAAATTCATACATGTGAAAATGACTGAAGATATGTGAAAATAGGTAAAGGTGAAAGTCCATGTTTTCTGTGAGCCATCAGATTATAAAAACTCATCCAAAAGTTTGTGTTCTCAACAAACTCATTTGTTCTCACATGATCCCAATTCTCTCTCTCTCTCTCTCTCTCTCTCTATATATATATATATAGAGAGAGAGAGAGAGAGAGAATTGGGATCATGTGAGAACAAATGAGTTTGTTGAGAACACAAACTTTTGGATGAGTTTTTATAATCTGATGGCTCACAGAAAACATGGACTTTCACCTTTACCTATTTTCACATATCTTCAGTCATTTTCACATGTATGAATTTGTTAAAATTTCAGTTATGATGATACAAGGAAGTGTATATATATGTGTGTGTGTGTCTGTGTGTGGGAAGGTGTTTGAGTGCAGGTGCCATGAAGGATTGCAAATAAAGTTTTGAAATTTGGCTCATGATCTTGTTTCTTCTTGCAGCTGGCCCAAGTAACAGTATCAGATTGTTTGGTACTACTTTGTCGTACTGTGAACGCCACGAGGCCACGGAGGTATCATTTGCGATCGTAATTTTGATCTTTTGCTCGAACACCCATCAACATTTTTCATTTTCTAACGAAACGTATCATGCCAGGCGACTTTGAACTTAAACAAGCAAAAACGGGATTCTACTGAGCTTGGTTTGCCTCCTACATTTGTTGCTCTGCCAACACTGCCGGTTGAAGTCCCTCAAACAGTGTCTCAGCTTCGCTCGCCTCTTGGTTTCTCTGCTACCCCGGTCTCATCTTCAGAAAAGGGTAAACAAATTGTGGGAAACCAAACCTCACAGTTGTCCCGTTTTTCTCAAGATGAGCCATCGACAATAGTCACCACAAGCCGTTATCCGTTGGCACCAACACCTGCAGTGGCACCGGCACCGGCACCGGCACCAGTTTCATTGGACCGTGGCAAGCAGCCAATCCAGGCAAGTGGTAGTTCATCTGTTCGAGCTCGACCTGAACCCAACCCGCGGTTTAACCGAATTAACCGCAACAACACCAGGCGTTAAGTTTTGCTAGATTTAGTAGAATGTTTTTGGTTTGGTTATGTACTGGGGTTAAACTCTGAATGTTTTTGGTTTGGTTATGT